AAGAAGGTTACACCAGCTATCCGAAAACGGGTGAAGAAGTCCAAGAAGACTGTTCGCAAATATTCCAAAAATGGCCGAACCAGAGTGTGGTAAGCTTAGTCGCAAAATAGCTCAGGATTGGATTGTTGAATTCCAACTGTTTAGTTCGATACCATCCTAGCTGCAAACCATGTATATTATGCAGAATCCCAATCATGATAAGAAAACATGTCCAGTTATGGGGAGCCCAGGAGTGGAATTGCTTCAGTGCTTCGCAAGTCACAAGTGTACCCGATTGGGTTTGGGCGTGCAGTCCGAGACCACCATATGAAATGGATGGCCCTATGGTTGCAAAGTGGATTGGGGGCTGGCAATTACTGAAGGTTGTGAAAAGTGCTGGCTTGTTTACAAGATATATGGAAGTGCTCAATCTATTTTAAAAAAACTTTGCAATTTAATTTGTGAATGCTCAGCTGTTTCCCATTGGTAGGGGGTCAGAGTATAGTTTTTGTAGGCCAATCAACTTACAATTCCTTTGGCCCTTTCCCCAGGATGTGAAAACATTCCAACTTTCAAAGCAAATGCTGTTGGTAAACTTAGTTTGAATTTTCCCCATAAGCCACAAGACATGTCCAAATCGGTTTGCCCTCTCCTTGCCGCAGAAATCACCGGGCAGCGTGGAGACGATTCGTCGGGCTCTCTATCGGCCTGAAGGTGGTTTGAACATCGACCCAAGCTGGAAGCCCATGAAGGTTGGGAGATGTTGGAAGTTGGGAGTGTTCTTTCCTTGGGGTTTCTATGGTCCCAAACAAAATTCCTAAAAGTAGAATTCAGCAACCTATGTCAGAAAATAGTTCAGGGATGGATGGGTTTGTGGTTTTGGGGACTCACTGTGGTCAATGTGCATTTTCTTTTCGATGGTGGGTGGATGCATACAGGTAAGGATAAATCTTGGAAATTGTCGACCCCAATTGTGTAATTTATAGTCTCTCAATTCCCACAAATACATTTTTCTCTAGTCGTAGTGCTATAGCCTATATAGGCCTTGGGGCTATGATCTACCACAAATTCTACTTTAAACTATACTGTGTTTGATTTTTTCTTTGCGGCTGGGAGGCCCCATATCGGTGGCGTCATGCTCGTCTCTCAGAGCTGACGGACTTTCTCAATAGTGAGAAGAAAGCGGGACGTTATCACCCATTGATTCAAGAAGGCCTTGATTGAAACAAATCAAATCATGGCCCTGGCTTTTACTGCCAATTAAAGATATCCACCCTGGGCTGATAAATGAAATATCTTAAACCAACCATAACTCTACCACTACTCCAACAAAGCCTGTTTTTTCTGGGTTGGCCTACAGGGTGCCCCTTGTACAATTCGCATCGTGCTGAATCCAGTCATGTGAAAAATAAACCTTCGAGTCAGGAAGTTGCTGGTGGATGTTGGTGGATGTTCTGTCTGAAATAATGGGTTTTCACGGAAAATAATAGGCTTTCACGGTTAAGTTCACATCACAATTGAATTCATCCAAAACAGAATGATTTCGCTACTTTTTAACATAATTCACAAAAAGTGGTAGCGTGAAATTAGCGTGAATGAGCGTGAAATGAGCGTGAAAGCCTATTATTAGCCGTGAAAGCCCATTATTATCCGTGAAAGCCATTACCCCCAAAATACCCCAAAATCCAGTGTTTTGTGATATTTCTGTTTCAAAAAAAGAAATCACCCTGCCGCTAGCGCTTTGGTGTGGCTCTGGTGTGTTACTAGGGGACTAGCTCCATGGAGGAGTCAGCTGTGCAGAAATTGTTGGAAAAGGCAGCCCGCAGGGCAGAGCGGACAGCTGTCATGGATACATGTCCTCCACAAGATGATGAACCGAATGTGGGAAGGACTGATTTTGTGGGTATTACCCATCATGGCCTACCCATGTAGGGAAAACAACTTATACTTGTTTGGTTGGGGCATGGCACCATTGGGTGAGAAAAAAACATCCTCCTGGATCCCCCCTGTAATTGTTTTGATAGCTGTGTGCGGCTAAGAATATAATTATATGATTTACAAATTATATATATTATATCAGGGATCTGTGCAGTTGTGTGACCATCCCCAAAAATATTTCAAATTAGAAACCATTCTAGCCTCAGCTTTCGATTGGGTCATGCCCCTGTGTTTCGACTTGTTTGGAAGGACACAGCAAGTTTCTCAAGATGGGAAAAGTCGAAAGGTTCGAAGGATGATGCCACTGGAAGCAGGCCCGGTATGGTTGTGGGGAGGGTTGATCAAAAAATATCCTATATTCATTTCTTTGGATGATTCTCCCACAAAGAAAAAAATGTCAAGTGTATAGGGGTAAGTTTCAAGTTTATAGCACATGTGATAATCAAGCCATACTTCCCTCTGATGCAATCTTCTGAGCCCACCCACAGTTCTGGTGGATATATACCCTTGTATATGTGGCATCTATTATTCTGAAATTAGATGAAACTAGGTTTTCCCATTGGGATGAGGTTATAAGGTGTTGGTTTGTGACGTGTTGGCCCCATCCCAAAACACGGTTTCAAAACTGCAAAAGGAATGAGATTTCTCTCATTTGGTGGATGGCCCAAACAATCTTTCCTGCAGAACGTTTATTATGTGCACATAAGTTCGATCATATGAGCAATTTTCATTCTGGAAGTAAATTATGGTAGCCCTCAGCCACCTTCTTTTTGATGTTGGGTGTAGTTACTTGGGGGAACAATGGGGAACATAAAATTATATAGTTTTGGCTACCAGTGTACTTCCCAACCCAACCTTGCAGTCAAGACACATGCAGAAGGATCATCAATAACAGGTTTTGGCCAGATCTGTCCTGCCTGCCCAGTGGCCACATGGGTTGCACCCAGATGGGAAGCAAATTTGTGTTTATAACGTACGTACGTACATGGTTGATGGAATTCGGTCTTAGAGGTACGAAAATTAGACCATGTGGCTGGCAAACACAATGACTGTTGGTGTGGTGTCCCAAACCTTTTTACCAAAAAAACATGATCACAGCAGCCACTGAACTCTTTTGGATGTGTTACACCGGGTTTTGCCGCCAGATTCTGATGCATCTACTGTGCCAGCTTCAGAGACTGAAATCCAACAGAAACTTGCACTGTCAAAGAAGCAAGTGGAGCCAGAGACAGACAACTCCAACAAGACTGACAGCCAGAGGCCAAAGCTCCCCCAGAGGATCCAAAGCAAAGAACTTTTGAAAGACGAGGCAACATCACCGAACCAAAGTCAAGGCAATCCAGGTGTCAGAACTCAGGCAACAGCAGTGAAAGCAAAAGCCCAACCAAAGGTGGTTTTCAAAGAAGAGACTGAGACTACTGCCCACGCAGTGGCGCAATGCCTTGCCAGGAAATCCACAGCCGAGCTCAACGGTGGCAGTTCTGGTGGTCCATCTCCAGCAGGATCAGCAGATCAAGAACAGGACGCAAGTGACTCAGAATCAGAGGTTAACAGCGATGTGGAGTCCGAAGAGTATGAGCGAAAGGAAGCGCTTGTGAAGGCCAAAAAAGCTGCACACGCGCGCTATATGCGCTTTAGCAGGAGCTTGACAAGTGTCTTGGATGTCAAGATGTGGAGGGACAGTGACGATGACAAAAGCACATCAACAACTGAATTTTTAAGCAATCATTGATTGACACATGTTTGGCCATTTGCCCAAGATGTCCTATTCAACGTGAGGACCTCTTCCAAAGAAAATATTGTTCAGTGTGGGATGTGGTATTTGGTTTTGAAAAAATATGCGCACTGTAAAATACAAAAAGGCAACAATGGTCGCTTGACATTGGCAGTCCCATCAGGTCCCATCAAGGCAATTGCTGAAGATATCCCTCTATAGGCCTATAGGCCCAATATATCCCTCATAATAAACTAATTAAAGCCTGCCTATGTCCAAATAGGTCTTACTCTCCCAACATCTGTTTTGCAGTAGTGCCTAGTTAGCCAACCGGCCCCAGCCAAGGCAAACGAACACCTATCGAGGTACGCCGGGCAGGGGCCGCGGCAAAGAATGATTCCCCAAAGTTACAAATGCTACAGGAGCAGTGGGCCAGTTGCAAGGGCATATGGAGCCAAAGTGACTTTGTCATCCGTTTGCGACAGAAGACCCGCCAACGCCAGTATGGCGCCAGACGCTGGATGACGCGTCAGGAGTTGATCTGCAAGTACTCAAGCTGTGCTATCGCAGACAAAATCATAGCAGCCAAGCAGGGAGACAAAGAAGCAAAAAAAACCCAGATAAGGAGCCACCCTGACCTTCACGGGGATGACTCGGACGATTCTCGCACGCACATGTCATGTAGTGTGCTTGTAGATATGCATAGAGTGTATAGAGTACATATTACATATAGCAGTGTGCCACATGTGTTCCTGATACTGTTAACAAACTGTTTTCCCAGTTCAACATGGAATATATAATTACTAAAAATTATCAACTAGGCCCTTGCCCAACCATGGTTCCAAACTGCGCTGCTGAGGACACCAGGCAATATCTTGTTTGGGACAAAGAAGGCTCTGAAAACACCACAGACCATGTCTGCTCTGAATTGTTCACAGCCGCTGAGAAGGGGGATGACCCCCTTGAGACTCGCAGGGGTCGTTCTAGGAAGAGGAAGGACAAGAAAGGTCGCAAGAGCAACAAGAAGAAAAGAAAGGGTTCTACTTCTTCGACCAGGTCCAGTTCAAGCTCATCATCTTCACAGGAAAAGGTGGATTCAAGTTCTTCAAGCTCGGAGGCTATATGGGCTCCATTGTTCATCCAACCCTGGGGAAATCTTTACAACCAAGTCAAATTGATTTGGATATAGATGGATCCAGTACCTCAATCATAAGAAACCACCTGGATCAAACAGCTTTGGACCATGAACCATTACCATTGCCATGTATGATTGGAGGCAGCAAAGAAAAAGAAGAAGGGCAAGAGCAAGACTGGTAAGACCAAATCAAAAAACGGTAAGGCTTCCAAGACGGCTGCCAAGGCCAAAGGAAAGAAAGACAAGAAGGACAAAGACAAGGACAAGGACAAGGACAAGAAAAAGCCAAAGGAGGTGATCTCATCTGACAGTTCAGATGAAAGTGAAGAGCCAGAAGAGACAGAGGAAAAAATGCAGAAGCGATTGGCGAAGGAAGCTGAGGCACAAAAAAAGAAGGAGGCAAAGGATGCAGAACAAGCGAAGAAAAAGGCTGAACGTGAGAAGAACCAAGAATTGAAGAAAGAACAAAAGAAAGGCACACAGGTTGGCTCTGCCAATGTCGATCTGTTGGGTGTGGCTAATATGCGATAGGTAAACTGATGTAAGCTGTACATCCACAAAGGTTTATCCATACTCATTGCTGTGTTTGGTGAAATGGATCCCAAATGCAGGCACACATGCATGCATGCACCATGCATACATACTGACCTACTACCAATTGTTTGACACATACATTATATGCCTCTAGAAGGCATGAAACTTTGTTTCTTACCATGAAAAAATTGTCCATCCCCTTATGTTGAGAAATTACCAAATTTTAAGGGAGTAATTTTTGGCAATGGGCTAAAACCATGTTATCATGTTCTAAACAATTCTATCTTTTGGGATACGACCAGCAATGACTGTTGGGAGGCCTTGTCGAAGCTTGGTGCCAACATCTTGAAGGCAGCTGGCTTGGATGAGAAGTTGGAGAGCATGAACCTTGGACCAGGCCGTGGCTGGCAAAAACTGGACCAGCACATGTTGGGTCGTAATTATCCTCCCAGGCTTGCCCGACCCCAAATTGCATTGTGGGATGTTGTCCTCTTTGTTTGTAAGGTTGACCTTTCAACAAATATCTTTGTCGCTGGCATATATTTTCAAGGATGCCCCTAGCTAGTGGTAGTGGTGGTCACAAGTAGAAGACAACAGTAGATGCATTCAAACAAATTCAGCTTCAGACATCCATCATCACAAAAAAAAATGCGTTTTAGTTTGAAACACAGAAATGGTTCCCTGAACGGCATCCTTCTTGCCCCCATGATATTACTTGGGGATACTTGGGGAATCGCTGAGGAGCAAGTCTGTGAAAGATGCTATTTTGATGGAGGTCAAACCCCATCTCGACAAATTGCGCTCTACAAGAAGGTCTTTGCAGAATGCCGTGGACTCTGCCCAGGCTAGGTTCTGGGTGTTGGCCACCATCTTATTGATTATCAACGGACATAAGTAGCATGGTAAATTCACCCATAGTTTAGGATAAAAACGCTATTGCCTGTTAACCTCTTAGTGGAACTGCACCCCCAAGTATGTACCTGGACACGAAAGCTTGCAGGCATAGCTGCCTGTTTCCCACTGGTTAGTTTGGTGGTGGAAAACCGTTTAAACCAACATTTTCCCAATGATCCATTACGTTATAATTTTGAGAGGACTTCCTGTATGGCAATTTGCCTTAAACAGACCCATGATTGTTTGTTGCACCTAGGATATCAAAATTCAAACTCTCTCACCATCATCACCACTACATGCAGAACAAACCAATTTTGGTAGATAGCTTGGGTCTCGGAACCTGATTGCGCAATGCTTGCACGAGGTCGGACACTTGGGATCTATGCACAGCTTGATTGCCAAAGCTGACAGCGTCAATGCGGACTTTGTGACGTTTCTCTCTGCCTACAACATCAAGTGAGGTTGATGTTTCTCAATGTTCATGACTTTGGTCTGATGCGTGCATACATGCATCTTAGAAACCATGGTCACCAGAAGTGGAATCATAGATGTCCACCAATATGGGTTCTCCTGGGCAAACAGTGGCACTGGCACCAGCCAAAGCAGTTGCGAGACATGAACGATCTCACAGACACTTCTGAAGTAGTGATACAAATTATTCAACATCAATATGGTTGCTATTGTTTAAAGGTAATATAGCTAGTACAGTTTACACAGTAACCTCTGTAATGGACATGCCAGGTCTGCTGCGTTTTGTCGCTTGCCACAAGGATGGCCAGGTTTCTTTTCTTTGGGGATATGCGAGATGCAGTGTTCAAGGAAAAAAGGCACAAGGCGTAGAATCTTCGAAATGTTGGATCGCTGGTTTATTCAATCTTTCCCTTTTGAACATGTCCCAATGGTTACTGTTTGTGTCCCCTGCGCAGATTGCCGTTCTGACAGTGTAGCACGAGTGCCAGCTGCTTTACAAGGGCACTATGATGATGTTGCTGCTGGTGTTACTTGGTCATGTTTGATCGAAGAGTGTTAAATTTGTTTTGTGTTTCACCTTATCGTATGTATAATATGATTTGAACTGGTGGGAAAGCCAACCAAATTTATTAACACATCAGGGACCTTCGTAAAGAACATGGGGGCCAGGGCTATACGAGAATCATCCCTTCCGCCCCCAACTTGGCTGCTAGGTATCCTCTGTGAAGCGGGTGATGCGACGCGTTCGAGACCACGTCCAAGATCCTGGGCAAGGGACGTTGTTGCCGACCCATGGTTGGAGCCAGACCTGTTATCCCTGAAACAGGACACTAGTTTTTGGGGGGGAACCACTTTACAAATATTAACTGAAATATCTGATCTATCGATCTAAAGTACGTATCCTTTATGGTCTTATCTAAGCCTGTGGCCCCTCATCAGCCAGGTTTGTGTGAGTTTCCACATTGGATTGCCACCTATGATGTTGTTCTATAGGCCACCTGTGCTTATTAAATGCGATCCGGCCTGATATAGAAACACTATTACACACAGTTTCCATGACTTGCAACCACTAGTTTAAAAATATTCATGGGTCGTATAAAACCTATGTTCCGACTTCAGGCAATGCCCACAAACACAAATACCTATAGGTGTCATTTTTGGGATCCTGCTGGGGACAACCAGACTTTGGTAAATGCCCCAAAGGTCGATTTGATCACCAAAATACAGACTCGACACTTGATGTGATTCACCCAATTCCTGCATGACATTGGCTCAGGAAAGCGAACCTGCATCAGTTCATCAACACACATTTGCACTTGCTTCTAAATCTGGCAAGAACGATGTTCGGGATTTCTGGAGATCAGCAGATATCCCTGTGGCCTCTAGCCAACCAAAAGAGTTATTCATTTGTTTGTTTTACACGTGTTTATTATTTTGTTTGGTTTATTCAAAGTTTGGGGCCCAAAAAGATTCTAATTCCAGTGCGGTTTCAACATCGAAACAATGGTAAATTGGTTCAAATCCACTGCAATGATTGGGGTTAGCTAAAATATGCTAAAATTGTTTGTGATGTATACTGCTGCAAGCCAACTAGACCTTTGTCCAATATCCCCCAATGGGAACTTTATTGTGGGTATCCAGGGTTCCAGGGTCGAGGGTTGGTCAAACATGGTCAAACATGGTCAAACATCAATCCATGGTTTCAGCTGCGCGCCCAGGAGATTGAGGAGGTGCGGGTCCCTGTGTTTAACCCAAAGCTACCTGGTAAGGTCTCTGTGGAACTGTACCCTATGGTCTACCCACACAGAATTTTAGCCTATCTTTTCAACGAAGTGGAGCTGGAGATGCCTAGTTGTGACGTCCAGACATTCTGGAACCATTCGCGCACCTTGGGTGAACCGTGGGCATGTGCTCACCCTGCCACAGAGTGGCATGTGCCAGTAGGGTTGCATGGGGACGGAGCAAAGCTTTGGACTCAATACCGTGTAGAAAAATATGTTGCTGTGTGGCTAAATCTGCCACTGTTTAGACCGAGATCGATCCGTCACAGCCGATTCTTGCTTTTTTCGATGCCAAAACACAAAATGGTGAAGAACCGGTCCCTCAATGTGTTCTGGCGCAAAGTATGTTGGTCTTTAAACGCAGCCTTCACTGGACAGAACCCTTCTGTCGGGCCAGGCGGCCTACCTTTAGCCGGAGAACATCTTGAAAGGGCAGGACATCCAATTTGCAAGTCCGAACGGAAGTTTGCTTTGACAGAGCTGCGTGGTGATTGGGAGTGGCATCGGGACATTTGGAGGTTCTGTGCCAGTTGGCAAAGCCAAGTGATATGTTTCCGATGCCCTGCCCTAACTCGGGGCAATTGGCCATACGTATATTACAACAACTCCTCGACGTGCCGCTGGGACCAAGAAGAGTTCAGTTTGAACCAATTTGTGGCCCGCCGCCTGAAAGAGAGGCAACTTTGTGCCTTGTATCTTATTGGGAATGGGTTTTTCAGTATCCCAAGTTACCCTGTTAAAGTGTTTTGATGTTCTATTATCCTGATATTCAGGGATCTGATTCCCCCATAAGAATCAACCACCATCAACCACCTTTCTCTCTACAGCTTGTGCCACAGAATGAGGCCCTTTACTGAACATTCAGGGATTCCATCCCGGGCTCCTACGTTTCTGTTCCATGCATGCTCTGAACTTGGGCCTACTCTTTGTTTGCAACGCTGGTGGTCTGACATTTGGTTGCAGCCAGATTTTTTGAAGCCAAGTTTCCAAACCCACATCATCATCAGCACAATGCAGCAAACGAAGCCAGAGTACATAGTAGTCCCCACAGCAGCTCCGCAATCCTGTGTCCAACACACCATTTCAGCCAAGGCTTCTTCTTTGTGAAGATCTTCAATACTTCGGCCCTGGTAGCTTATCAGGCCAAATGGATGTTGCCTACAAGGATTTTCTGGCGTTTTGCTCTGCCAGAAAAATTTATCATTCGCAACCGCCCTTTGTTCCAAAGATGGTGGCATGGCTCTCATACAATTTTATTCGGAAGAACTGAAAGTTGCCTTTTTTTTGCCCAAGTTATGATGGTAGTTTCAACCCCTGGAAATACTACTACAGTGGGTTACTTGGTTTGGGAAACCCTCGAACAGCCCAAGTGTGTATGTTACACCCTCCCTAAATCCCATTGTAAATAATAACAATCACCTTTATTCCATACCCAATCTCCTAAGGTGAAGAAGAAAAACGGCGACGAACTTTTCACTGCCAAGGCCTACAATGGAAGGGTGATTCTGAGCTGGCTGAGTCATACTCTATTACTGGCATTGCAGCACCACCCAAATCATGAGATTCTTCTTCTTACCAGTTCTGCAATGAAGCTTGGGTGGGTATTTAATTGCCTTCAAATTCAATCGTTGGCCCCCCGAAGTTTTCTTGGGGAAATTAGGTGGGCATGATCATGGCATTTTACTATGTTGATGACCGACCCTTACTGCTTGATTTCCTTCTTGAGTCAACTTACAACCCAGTATAATATATTCCCTGGTGGATAACAGTGGGACTCGATAAGGAAACCTTAATCTAAGTTGTTTGGGACTCCAAAAGGCTTTGTCCGACAGAACTTCCTTTGTCGAACTCCAGCAATATCCACCCAAGAATATAGGAAACACATCGGGAAATCACATCAATATTTTTTTAGAACCAATGTTTCTTTCAAAAAATATCATACCTGTGAACACATCATACCCATGTGTTGGATGGTGAAGATCCACAGCATGTCCACTTCCCAGTCAGACGTGTCCTCCCAAGGAGCGATATGGTGAAATGGTTCAGGATCAGCGAAAGCCATGGCCGCTATTTGTGGCATGGTGACAGTTCTGGGCTGGGATTGGCCCCATACCCAAAACAACAAGAAGCCTATCCCCATATTTCATTTGGGTGAAATTGATCTGGTGGATAGATCGATTTATTTGAATTGAATATGTAGTCCCCCAGATTGTTGAAATATATCAATCAAAGGGCAACTGTTCCCCCCAGATGGCAACGCCATTGTTATACAAGTCTTAGCCACATCATAGTCATTATATCCATCAAGGGCACAGTTGAGAAGGTGATTGAGAACTACTGGATCGATTGTTTGGTACACTTACCTGATCAAATGCAAACCACATGAGCAGTGTTCAAAACCGTTTCTGCCATTTGAGTTGGTTAATTGGGATTCCCCTTGTTGATTATTATAATATATTATGATGTTAGTTACAATTTATCAAACAACACGGGTTTTAAACACTGCTCGCATATTTAGCATGTACTCTTTCCAGCCCCTGGCTAGTATTGGCAAATTAACCAACACAGGTAAACTAGCTAGGGTAACCAAAGTACTTATGATTTTCATCATTTCATAATACAATCTCAGAAAAATGAGTTTGGAAAAATGCCCCGGGACCTAGAAATATAATAATGTTTAATCAACTTTTCCAAACTCATTTCCTGTGGTGGTCTAGATTCTGGGGAAAGTATGTATGGTTCACCCACTAATTCTACATTGGTGGGTGTTAAACTGGTTTGCTACCTGGACCTGTAGTGATATCAGTGTTTGAGACATAGCATTATTGTATATAATGATCATATATCATACCGGCCGATGTCTATATTATAATAGATATAGATTTAGTGTTCTGAGCCAAGGACGCAAGCAGTTGCCCAAGAGCTTCACGACACTGGAATGCGATTTCTGGACACCTACACTGTCCTTTGTGTGGAACACATCAGGCCTGGTTGGGGTTGACAGTTGACCTAGGAAAAGTCTTGGATATGATATATATAATATATTATACACTCTATAGATACTACCTGGATGTCAGGTAATTCTCCTCACTGATCACTTTTACTTTTATACCATCCTTTCTGTGCTTGGAGGATGGGAAAAGTCCGATGGCAAATGCGTCCAAAACACCATGTGGCTAAGCTGGACTTTAGTCTTGCAAGCGTGCTGATATCAACATGTGGTGTGTGTATTGCCAATACCCTACCTAGTCACTTGGGTTTTTTCTACCTGCTGACGTGTTGTTTCTTGGATAAGTTGAAGTGCTGGGGGCCAACTTGTCTGATGTTTGTATTCAAGGTTTTTGCACATTTGTGCAAAGATGCATTACGGTGGAGCACCTTGGAAAAGATTCGAGTTTGTATGTTTGGATACTGGGTACGGGGTCCTGTGATGTCCTGTATTTAAGTTTCACGTGGAGCTGTGGTTCCAACCTTGGCTGGGCCAAGGAACCAACTGCCGAATGTACCACACATTTGTAGATGAAGATGCTATGAGGTGGCTCAAAGGTGTCTTGGATGTTCAATTGCTGCTGCCTGTGGGTGGAATGTCCTGTTTTTTCCAAAAGCATTATAATGTTTTGTGTCAAGGTGTTGCAGCTAAAGCTCATCCTCGGTGTCGCCATCTATGGCTTCTAAAATGTGCAAAATTGAGGCCTTCAGCCAGTTAGCACATGGGCCAATCATGTGGTATATAAGCTTGGTTTCCACTTTACTGGTCAGTACTTGGTGTGCAGGCTTCTCACTATGAAGTACCGCGTAGATCGGAAAAGGACACTTAATTGCAAAAGAAGGTGGTTTTGGAGGTTTGGTGATAGTTTTTGTTACCTGTGCTCAAGCGAAAGGGGCTTGACAGGGTTGCAAGGGGTATGTGGCACCAAGGACCCGGGGAAAACGAGGTTGAGATCGAGTACACAATAGTTTGGACGTGCGTTTGCGCAGCGATGAGTCAAAAAACACCGGTGCATAGCTGAATTCTCAGAATGATAGTGTTTGAGGGGAAATGAAGGCCCCCACGAAAGACCATTTCGACATTTGGAATAATAGACCTTCTTAAAGTAACATTGTTTTAATCGGCCTTGGATAGCTAGGGTATATATATATTAAACTCCTTGGATTCGGAAGCGAAAACAGACACTCCAGGGTCATTGAATCCACCAAATTTCGTTCCACGTTATAATTCCATCATCCAGAAGTTGTGGTGGCGTCTCATCTCAACGAAGATTACCCTTTTCGATGTACTCCTGCAATGGCTGATTTTCTGAGGCATACCGCATACCGCACAGGTGAACCCAGATACCCACTACACATTCTACTCCCAGTAGATGTTAGCCTTCTGACTTTCAAATCTGCATACCCATATGCTCCATGTATGGTATATTTACCTACATTCATTTGGGCGATTATTACGGCAAATGTAAGTAAATATTCCATACATGGAGCAGGATGTGGTCAATCCACTTGGGGTCCGACGATGTGCTGGTGGTTTGGTCAGGTGGTGATTTGACGGGTGAGATCTTGAAGAACAACTTCCGACGTGACGAGGCTGGGGGGATGTTCCAACTTCTTTATCAGATCCCAACTGACATCAAGCGACCAACGGTTTGGAGATGGCTGCGGCCAGGTTTTCAATCAGTACCCCAGATACGGCCAGATGTTTAGCAATACTTACTGTCACTTGACACACCTGTGAGATGGGGACGTCCCAATTAGTGGCATATCCAAACATCACTTGTGGCTGAGAAGCGCCGACGTCCACCACGTGTCCAAACATGGAAAAACACTGTGTGTTGTGGGACAAAATGCACATGTCCATGATCACGGCTTTCATCTTGCAGCGCACAGCTTAGCAACCTGTTCATTCAATGTTACACCACCGCCACCACCACCACCACCATCATCATCAGCAGCATCACCATCACCATCACCATCACCATCACCATCACCATCATCATCATCATCACCATCATCATCATCATCACCATCATCATCATCATCACCATCACCATCACCATCATCATCATCATCATCATCATCGCCATCACCAGCACCATCACCATCACCATCATCATCATCATCATGAATATTACTTTGAATATACAGTTTAACGGGGATCGGGATGGGGATTTAATGAGTATTTAATGATTCCCTAGAAAATTACCTTGAATATAAAGTTTAACGAGGTGGGGATTTGATGATTTCCGAGAAACTCTGTCGAAACATCTTGAAGTCAATATCCCTCTTCAATGTACTTGGAAACCGTGCAAATATTGTGTGGGCGAAAGCGGGGGTTGCGCGTAGTACTACAGTACCTCGCCAAGCCAAAAGGTTGCTGTTTGACAGAGGACATGTAGAGAAACCTGTCACACCCTGCCACCAATTTTGTTGGTCAAATAAACAATTGTTTGTTTGGGTTTGGGTGGCTAGTTGCCTAGAGTAAATTATAGTAAATCGCCTTTTTTGAGTGCTGTTCATCCATGGTATGTTCATGCTCCGTCCCACCAGCAGAGTGGCATTCCGCCCCAGAGCTGCAGGAAGGGTTACAGTAGTTTTATGATGTTTTACACACATACACACACCAGTTCATAAAGTACATGGCATTATAAATCCAGTGCATTTTTGATTTATTTGTATACTACTCAAACATTTCTCAGGAAGCATGACACATCATGAAGCATGGTAGGCGAACGAACCTGGTTTGAGACTTAGACTTGAAAGAGACCCTCCAAACAAACACTCCTGTGATATCCTGTGGTGGTGTTCAAGTATGTCAGTGAGGTTTTGGTTTCACCTCCACCAGTACCATAGATGATGACGATGATGACTGCAATGCACAATATTTTTTAGGATGGCTTGAAAGCACACCCATTTCCTGTTCGGGTGGGATTTGACTCGTCTCCCAAAAGCAGACCTTCATGTTTCATGACTAGGAAACCAATCGCGCCCAAATCCACACTGGCGCTGAATTCCAAAAATGGAACCATATGGAACCTCCAATGTGGGTCTGTCATTTGGATTCATGACTGGGCTTTTCCCGTGGCAATCTGTCAAACAAACATATTGAACATTTGAACATGATGTTTTCATGTTTCCCCAGATCGCCAGACACCAGATCGCGATACCAAGGGATCATCGTTTGGCACGCTATGCATATCAGATCTTTTCGGGACTGGCCTATCTTCATTACCACAAGATCGTCCACCGGGACATGGCTGCAGGGTGGGAATTGATTGTGCCATTGTGCATGTTGGGCGGTACCACAATGCCAACCTCAGGCAAACCAAGATACTTTAGCGGAAATCCATGTAAATCCATTTCTTCAAGTTGCTTTCTTATACCATAGATTACCATAGCTTTAGAGATAAGGTTCACAACCCAGTTTGTTTGAACATAGGCTACCCCAATATCCCATGTCATTTTCATGCATGTTTTATATAATTCATTCAATTCATTCTGGCGATTTGCGACCGGGGTATCCATGGCCCGTTTTTGGTTGAACAGCTCATGCTGCAGGACATCAAACCGGAAAATTTTATGCGCACCACGCAGCCGGGATGCAGTGGTTCTGGTCACGATAACGATTTGTTGATTACTGAGACGAGCGAAACAAACCACCGAACAAATATATATATATATATATATTTATGTATATATATGTATATTATTATGTATATATATATATATATTATATGAGCATTCAATGTTTTTCGAGTTACAAATCAGTGAAAATCATGTTTTGTAATGATATTAACATACAATGAGGTAGTAATAACTATAATAATCTATATAAGATTTATAAGCCTCAAATATTTAATAGCCTAAATCTGTAGTATGATTTGTTACTCACAAGGCGTCTAGTTACCGTACCTGTAGATTCAATATTTGTAAGGACTTGATGATGAAATGTCCTGAACGCTTTGGGATCAACTTCTCCATACATATATATATATAATAAGCAGTCGGGCCGGAACAGTTGGGAAACCATGAAGAAATTGGGTGGAATTGTGAGAAAAGGAGCTGGAACCGTGAGAAAAAGGGTGGAACTGTGAGAAGAGCTTTGCGCGCTTGTCAGCCGCATGATTTTGGTTGCCTCAGGGTTTGAATTAGGCCGTCATCAAAAGGAATCATAGTTTCTGTCATGGTTCCTATGTATGGTTCCTCGCCACATGCATGGTTCCTGTGGAACCAGATGCAAGGGCCCAGTTGCATATGAGACAGGCCCCTAGGAGCCCTTGGAGGTACTGGGTATGGTTTTTCTATCCTTTTCTCTGTTTATGGCATGATACACTTATATACAGTTATCAAGTTACAGGGTAATAATCCCCTGAAAGTGGATGGGCAGAAATCATCAATGGAGGATCTTTCCCATACTGTAGCCGCTGTAGCCATTGATTTCCTGCGCAGAGATTCCCTGCCAAGGCCTGACGAAAGGGAGTCTCAACTGGTCCTGATTGATTTGGGCGTCTCAGCCAATCTGAAGGTCACACCCATCCTGAATGAGGTCCGTGAAAACTGTGGTTTCCTGCAGGGAAAACCCCCGATTTTTTTTCTAACATCTGGGAGAGAACGCAGGCAGAAGCCCTTGGAGGACCGTAGAGGTGTCACTAAGAAAGTTGGGGGGGTCCATACCCCAATAGCTAGATGGTTAATGGAAAATCCATGAAAATCCTAACATGAAAAATCCATAACTTGGGGTACCCCCATGACTTAGGAAACATTCCAATGAAATCAGCAGGTTAGCAGAGTTCGAGCCTTCTGGCCAGATGCAAGGGCCTAGGTTTTAGGGTCTCCAGCGTTCTTTTTTTCATAGGGACCAAATGGATCCAAGTGGATTCAAATGGAATATCAATAATATTCTTCCATATACATAATCATTTTTCATTTGGGGCATCCACAATTGTGTATAGGTTTTATATAATTGTTTTGAATCTAAGTTCCCAAGACCGGATGAAGGGGGAAAGACACACGGGACCCCACCCACAAGATCCTACAAGTACAGGGACATGGTTTCCTGAAACATGTTTTCCTTTTCTCACGCCCCAAAACAATCTTCCGACAGTCTCCATTTCCAGGGTCACGAGCTTTCTTGGACAGTTACAAAGTGGTTAACAACCATACTACAACAATAATGATATGTGGGATGTACCCCCAGTTAGACGAATGGGTCATTATTAGCATTTATTCGCCACTCAATTTGATTACTACCCTATTCATGGCATGTTATGGATAATTGTTCACCCCTTGATGAGCCAGTTTGAATTTATGTGGCATCCACTTGATTCCCAAACTTGTTTTGAAAACCCAATTAGATGTGGACGGACCCAATATGGGTCATTATATTCATGCAATTAGTTATATAGTTTATTATAATTTATGCATTATATTTATGTTAATGTTACGAACCACTGAGAATTCCCTTCAATGACTATTTTCAGCGATTCCCATGGGATAACAATAACAATATATGATTATATAATAACCATGATGATTATCCTTGATCTATGTGAAACGGAGAAATCACCCTAGTCTTCACCCGTGACCGCGTGACCGGAGACTGTCGGCACCTTGACGACCATTGCACCTGAGCTCTTCTTGGGCGACTACGATGAGTCACTGGGTTCAAGGGGGAATCAAGATAGGACTCATGGGTATGATAGGGAAAACGCGAAAAATAACGTTGGAACATAGACATTTACTGATTTACTGTCTGAACAACATATAAGTGCAATGAGTATCTATTTTTAATGGTGCATGATCTGTTTGTTTTTGGGTCAGCTTGACAAGTGTTGTGATGGTGGAAATATGATCCGTTGGAATCGGGCGTGCACCATTCTCGGACAAACCAACATTTCAGAGATACGGACATGTCAGTAAGCCTGCAATAAACATAGGGACTGTAACAGATGTCACGAAAGGTGGCAATACACCAACGAAAATGAATCAGACACCAGCAGCCAGCTCGGATTCAGCGACTGTGGCAGAAATTAATGGAAGCCATGGGTAGCCGGGTATCAAACATGATCAAACATGGCTTGTTGGAGAATCCCCCGTGGCTCATCGAACGCTCGAGTTTTCACGGCTGACCTCACAGGAAGTGCGACCTTTGGAGTGTTGGAATGACTCTCTACATGTGCGCGGTTTGCATCTGTGCTGAAATGGTTTGGGAACTGGGATGAGATCCAAGTTATCAAGTTGAGGAAACATGAGGAAATTATATGAAATCATGACCGTTTTTTGAAATCGTTATAACGTTTCATTGTTTGTCATTGGTTCACAGCTCCATTTCTGCTGGTTAAACTTAAACATCCTGCTTTGAAATCCTCAGGTTTGGTTTGGAGTCTTGTTGAATGAATTATCCATTGGTATAGCCCCCCACCGTGCAACTGTGACCGCCTGCATTTCCAGTTCACTCGGTTTAGTATATACTGGTTCCGCACCAACCTTCACCTGTTGCAGCATTGGGGTGTACCCAAGTCATGGCCGATCGACCATCGATTTGACAACATGCTTGGTATGTGAACAGCAGGGTAGCACGGGGTCCCCCACATTTATCCAATTGGATCTGGGTAAAAACACAATAGACCAATTTGTTTATCATTTGTTTGAGTACGGCCATTTTGACCTGTACTCATTTCTTGCTCGTATCGGCCAATTTCAGTTGGCTCTTTATACTATATTATATGTTTGTTATAGTCCCTTCTAACTGGTCGCAAGTCACTAGTTGCAACTAGTTGCTATCTCCACCTTTGGATGTGTGTGACCCATCCTGCTCAACCATAAGGTGGTTAAGGGTCCCCAAGCGATCCCGTTTGTTTTCCCACAGATAATTGACCCCAAGGTGTAAGGTTTTGACCGGTGTAAGGACATGGTGCAGTGTGATGACAGCAAGGTGTAAGGGCATTGGTGTTGACCCGAGTAAGGACATTGGTTCTGTAAACTGCAGCTGCAAGGTGCAAGGTGTTGACGGGTTGCAGTTTCAAAGTTTATGCCGGACCTGGTTTCTTCAAATGGATTCTGGCAGGTGCTGTAAAACAACAGCTGCAAGGCAGCTGTGAAGTTTCTGCAGCACATAATTTCTTGAGAGTTCTGGCAGGTGCTTAGCCCAAAAGCTTGCTGGACAAGCAGGTGTTTTAAAAGCTGCGGAGGCTGCTATGGTGACTGCTGCTCCTGAAAGATTTGAGTCTTATGTGGGTGGCTGCAGGAAAGTTCACCAGGAACAAAGTCACTCTTTGCCTGGTGAGTTAAGAGGAAAAAAGTGGCAAGGACATGGCTGTGATTTCCATTGCGAAAACAAAGTCCGAATGGCAAGCACGTGCTGGCACCAAGGGACACCACACCAGGTGCTATGATTTGGTGTCATGTCAAGGCTTTGTTTTTTTGTTGCCTCCTGGTGGGCCAAGGGCTGGCAACCCCACCTGGTATGTAATGTATGGTATGGCATGGTATGGTACGTATGTATGTGTATGTATGTGTTTATTTGTTTTTTCAATAAATATATTATATTTTTATATTATATATTAAATATATGTACGTGTATCTCTATATATATATATATAGACATATATATATATATTGTAAATATATGTATATGTATAGGTAAAGGTGTCTTTTAAATATGCATAGGTACGCTCTTAGTATACAATTTGCATACAATGAGTGATAAATCATATGTCAGGTGTGCTATAGGCAGCACGTAAACAGGTTTTGGGTAGACATATACAGCCAGATAGGGGGGGACCATACCATGGGGGGACTGTGAGGATCCTGGGACATGGCTTACACATATATATATATATAATAAATACATATAATATGCATATATATATATATGTATACATACATACACATTTATCGACCAAATTAGAGCGAGCCCAGCTGTAGGGCCGGTAGGCTTTGTAGATTTAACGAGCCCAGCGCCGAGGTGCCGTTTTCGGAATGGTTGTAACGAAGGTAAGAGCTTTGGAAGATGCCCAAAAAAAGAGGAGAGTCCCAGAGTCCAAACAGTTTTTTTTTTTCCAGGGTACCTCTCCCAGGTGACGGTTTCAAGATATTGTTTGTCAGGCGGGTCTTCTCGTTCTCCTTCTCCTTCTTCCTTTTCTTCTTTTCTCCTCGTCGTCTCGTGATGGCGGTGCACTTACAAAGTATGTGCCTGCGGGGATCAGTCGAAGGAAGTCATCACCTTGCAGTCATCACTTGAAGGAGGTCGTCACCTGCCCAAGAAGTAAAAAAACAACTGCCCGCGAGGTAGCCTAATTGAATTCCAAATAACGAGGCACGTTATTCATTTGCAAACTGGATCTAACGAGCCGAACTGTTACAGCCACCGAGAGACTCAAGCGACGAGGTCGATGAGCTAAAAAATAAGGTAATTTGCCCATATGTATGTATATATGTATGTATATAAATGTACTGTATATGTAATATATATAATTGTGGTACATTAGTTTGTCTATACATATGCATACATTCATGTATATATATATATACAAACATGTTTATATCATCCATTTTTTTAAGCCCAGGTATGGAACCCTGGCAGAATGCAAAAGGGCACATGAGTGAAGAAGAGATGCAAGCGTGTCACCTGGCGAAGCTGAGCCCCGGTCCGTTTTTTTTTCAAGGATTTTCACATGGCTTTAATATCATGATCCACCAGCCAGGAGTTTAAGATGGTTCTAACCTTTTTCCCGAGAGCGTCTGAGCGCAGGGTTCTTCCAATAGTGGGGGTCTGTATCTCATCTTCTCATCTTCACACCTTCTCTCACACCTTCTCATCTTCACATCTTCTCATCTTCACACCTTCTCATCTTCACATCTGCTCATCTTCACATCTGCTCATCTTCACATCTTCTCATCTTCACATCTGCTCATCTTCACATCTTCACATACTCACATCTTCACTTTCTCTCTCTCGCACTCACATCTTCACATACTCACATCTTCTCTCTCTCTCTCTATCTCTCTCTCTCCTCTTTCCTCTCTCCTTTCTCTCTCTCCTTTCTCTCTCCCTTTTCTCTCTCTCGCCTTCTTTATCTTTCTCTCTTTAGGCCGAGGGTGGTGCCGGCGGGGAGTCACGAAACGTCAACCCTTTCGCATGAAATGAGGGTCGATCGTCAAAAACTGAGGAAAAATTGCGATTTTACTTGTCCTGGAGCAACCCTTTCGCAAGAACTGAGGGTCGATCGTCAAAAACTGAGAAAAAGCTGCGATTTTACTTGTGCCGGAGCAACCCTTTCGCACGAGGGTCGATGCGCAAAAACTAAGGAAAAATTGCGATTTTACTTGTCCCCGAGCAACCCTTTCGCACGAAATGAGGGTCGATCGTCAAAAACTGAGGAAAAATTGCGATTTTACTTGTGCCGGAGCAACCCTTTCGCACGAAATGAGGGTCGATGCGCAAAAACTGGGGAAAAATTGCGATTTTACTTGTGCCGGACTTGTCTGTGTGTAAAAGCGTCTGTGTGTAAAAGCGTCTGTGTGTAAGAGTCTCTGTGTGTAAAAGTGTTTGTGTGTAAAAGTGTTTGTGTGTAATAAAAAGCTTCTGTGTGTAAAAGCTTCTGTGTGTAAAAGCGTCTGTGTGTAAACGACTGTGTGCAAAAGCGTCTGTGTGTAAAAGCGTCTGTGTGTAAAAGTGTCTGTGTGTAAAAGCGTCTGTGTGTAAAAGCGTCTGTGTGTAAAAGTGTTTGTGTGTAAAAGCCTCTGTGTAAAAGCCTCTGTGTGTAAAAGCCTCTGTGTGTAAAAGCGTCTGTGTGTAAAAGCGTCTGTGTGTAAAGCGTCTGTGTGTAAAAGCGTCTGTGTGTAAAAGCGTCTGTGTGTAAAAACATCTGTGTGTAAAAGCGTCTGTGTGTAAAAGTGTTTGTGTGTAAAAGTGTTTGTGTGTAAAAGCCTCTGTGTGTAAAGGCGTCTGTGTGTAAAAGCGTCTGTGTGTAAAAGCGTCTGTGTGTAAAAGCGTCTGTGTGTAAATGCGTCTGTGTGTCAAAGCGTCTGTGTGTAAAAACATCTGTGTGTAAAGGCGTCTGTGTGTAAAAGCGTCTGTGTTAAAAGCTTCTGTGTGTAAAAGTGTTTGTATGTAAAAGTGTCTGTGTGTACAAGCTTCTGTGTGTAAAAGCTTCTGTGTGTAAAAGCGTCTGTGTGTAAAAGCGTCTGTGTGTAAAAGCGTCTGTGCACAAAAGCGTCTGTGTGTAAAAGCTTCTGTGTGTAAAAGCGTCTGTGTGTAAAAATCTCTATGTGTAAAAGTCCCTGTGTGTAAAAGTCTCTGTGTGTAAAAGTGTTTGTGTGTAAAATCGTCTGTGTAAGAGCGTCTGTGTGTAAAAATCTCTATGTATAAAATTCCCTGTGTGTAAAAGTCTCTGTGTGTAAAAGTGTTTGTGTGTAAAATCGTCTGCGGGTAAAAGCCTCTGTGTGTAAAAGTCTCTGTGTGTAAAAGCCTCTGTGTGTAAAAGCGTCTGTGTGTAAAAGTCTCTGTGTGTAAAAGCTCGTGTGTAAAAGCTCTGTGTGCTCTGTGTGTAAAAGCGTCTGTGTGTAAAAGCGTCTGTGTGTAAAAGCGTCGTCTGTGTGTAAAAGCGTCTGTGTGTAAAAGCGTCTGTGTGTAAAAGTGTCTGTGTGTAAAAGCGTCTGTGTGTAAAAGCTTCTGTGTGTAAAAGCGTCTGTGTGTAAAAGTCTCTGTGTGTAAAAGCGTCTGTGTGTAAAAGCGTCTGTGTGTAAAAGCGTCTGTGTAAAAGCGTCTGTGTGTAAAAAAAGTGTTTGTGTGTAAAAGCGTCTGTGTGTAAAAGCGTCTGTGTGTAAAAGCGTCTGTGTGTAAAAGCGTCTGTGTGTAAAAGCGTCTGTGTGTAAAAGCGTCTGTGTGTGTAAAAGCTCTGTGTGTAAAAGTGTTTGTGTGTAAAAGTCTCTGTGTGCAAAATCGTCTGTGTAAAAGTCTGTGTGTAAAAGTCTCTGTGTGCAAAAGCGTCTGTCTGTAAAACGTTCTGTGTATGGAAAACTTTACAAAAATACGATGCAAACTATTGTCTTGTACTAGTCATATATTGTCTTGATACTACTCTTCTCGTCTGCCTACAATACATCTTTAATATATTATCTTGTAATATAGTGTCTCCATACTAACAACAGAAGACTCTGCTCCTCTACGCTCTCGGGCCATCCGTCGTCTAGTTTTAGAGGGGTATGATCCAGACCATGTGCATTTGTTGTGTTTGGGTTGATGACCCTTATTGGTTTTTTCAGCCAACAGGGATGACCCAGGAATTCGATGGAGATCTCGGGTATTTCCCGACACCTGGTGGCCACAACTGATGGTCCTTAAAAACTTGGTACGAAATCATGATGTTTGGTGGGAGATCAGACATATCTTGCTGTGTTCTGAAACTTAGATTTTGAATTCAATCTTGGATCGGATGTTACCATCAGCGAAAGAGGAAAGACACGGGACTGAACCGCGACAAGCAGGCGCAATATGTTTAGATGCTAAAGTATGTCATGAGAAGGAACAAGAAATCGTTTTTGTGGATAGTGAAGTTTCAAGTTCTGCTCCACATATGTCACTCATGTTTCGGTTACTTATGGTTAAAACGCCTGCCTGGATGATGCTAAGGTCAAAATGTTTGGGAGGTTCATAAGTGGTTCTTTATAGCAATCGATAGTTATCAATGACTTAAAACCAACCCCACCAAAAACACAACAATAAGATACAGTCAGGTTCATTGTGTCAACACATTGCGGTTCCCAACAACCAAAATTTCGGTTTGGCGGTTTTGGTCGTGGCTTTAAATTTCAAAACTATAACCAGTGACTTTCGTTGTGACATCCCGATCACTCCAAGGTTTGGAGAATCCGGAATGGGAAGTGCCCTATGATGAGAGGACGGGCTTGGAAGGGGTCTGGTAGCTGGTTGGGATTGATGGCTTTCAGTGATCCAACTGGATACCCACAGTGGGATCGCTGCTGGCAATGATGATTCCCAGATATTCACAGTGAATTTTGGGGTCCTTGTGTTCAGACAAACTAAGTGGTTTATAAGTAAGTTTTCGTCTTGTAATATGTTGTAATTCTATGTCCAAACATGGACAACTTCAGGAATTCAGGACGAATCACCACCATGATCGCGTAGTGTATATAAATATATACACACTAAATTTCATATTATATATATGTAGTACACAGATTATTTTTCGATATATATATATACACACATTTATACAATTTTATACATACATATATCTATTTTCATATACCGTAGATATGTATATACACATGTAATTTCATTTGACTATCATCCAGATCTCCATGTCTATAGGTAAATCTGAGTAAATTGAAGTAGCTATACAGTTAAATCATGTACTTAAGTTACAACTGGTTGATGTTCTTTAGACTGAGAATCAACTTGTCCATGATGTTTCACCATGATCCATGGTCCATTGCCTGGTTCGCAGGAGATGGTTCAGGAAGTCCCCTGAAGTCACAGAGCTGGTGCCCCGACCATCGAAACCCTGGTAGCGGTTGGTACCCTAAAAAACCCGAAAGTAAGTTGGTTAATGGATGTTTATTCCCCGCAAATATGATAATAATAGGTTTTGACCCATCCCAAAATTGCCTGTTTCGCATGTTTGTTGCTCCTTGAATCCATTTTTGTTCGACATGTCCAAGTCTTGCCGTCTTGCCGGTCAATTCCCCACGTGTCTTGGTAATTTCCCGTTTGTTGGCGCCACTTGTTTGATCATTCTGCATCATTTTGCCAGATCTAATTCCCACGTTTTGGCAGATTAAGTCACCATGTTTTGTGGTAAAATCCCCATGTCCATTGGACAATTCCTCTTATCGTGGAAATTCAGCCTAACTATGGAAAATCAACGAACTAAATGATCGCAGGGCGGGCCAAAGCCCGGCGTCCCCAAGAGGTTTCCGTTGGTCCACCTCTCAAGGTGAAACAGCTTCTCCAAAGAGATCCCAATGTGCGTCCACGAGCACGTGAGGCTGGGCTGTATCCTGCATTCGACACCCTTGGCGATGAATTCCAGCAGGGATTTCAGTGGATTTTAAGATGGGTTTAACAATGGTTTAATAGGGGGATATGATCCAGAAATGTGATGAAATGTGTGTTTGTAATTGATAAATGGATATAAACGGTGTGTTTGGCTGAAAATTTGTTAAGTGCTATATTAGCCAATAGGACCCAATAGGATCATCCGGGGGCTGGGAATCCCTATGAAGCAACCACAACCATGTCAACGGATGGTCCTCTTGGGGCCATGGATCCTTCGTAAAAGATTGGCTGAACATGTTCTGTATGTTACAGGAGTGCAAGCGACAGATCTTTGGTCCTTACCATTTACCAACAAGAATGGAGATATGCACAGCAAATGTTGAGTTTGAACCAGCGAGAATGCAGATTGAAGTTTCCAAGTTTCCACCGACAAGTATTGCGATTTAGCGGGCAAATCGTGGATTTAAATCAACAGTATCGCAGGGCTTCAAACTGCAAATGTTTGGGTCTGTTGTAGCCAACAAAAACGTGGCACAGCCTTGCAACCCTCCTATGATAATCGATGAATCGTATGTGTAGCCAGGGTCAAACACATGTTTTTCTCCAACTGTGGGAGCATCCCAGGTGAATAGCCTATACTTTATATATATATATATATATACGATATATATATATACGATATATATATATGATATTTATAATTTCCCATGTGGGCATCTTTCCCTGCCCAATTTGTCCCCGGATATGACCCTTAAAGTTAATGGAACTGACTGGAAAAAGTATGGACAAATAGGAAAGCGTGGCATTTTTCATGATGGGATCCATGAGATCTGCCCCAGGTTTTGGCAACCAACCAGTGGATTGACAAGACAGGGGAAGAACAACCGGGATGCTGCGGCTGTTTTGGCTGATGCCGGGAAACATTCTATTTTTGCAGGGCCAAAAGTCAAAGGCGGACCAGAGCATCACCCTCAAATCCATCATTTTCAGCATGGTATTCATGGTATTCTCATGTTTAGATTGAATCTATAATCCAGCTGAGCCGAGCTGCCAAGACTCTGTGCCGGGAAGCCCTACTTTTTTAGAAAGTTCCAGGCACGGCAACCTAGTTGGTGGATGTTTCCAGAATGGAGGCAGTGTTTGGATCGGTTGGATCTCTCTGTTTTGGCCGGGCGCGCGGAGGTTTTGAGATGTTTCAGACATTTGAAATTTAAGATATCTTGAGGCTTAATATACTAAGATAGGCTTAATATATTGAGACATATTCAGGGTTCTTGTAGGAGGAGAATTCACAAAAGGACCAAGACAACTGGACCATCGAATCCCTGTGATTGGGAGTTGTTTTGGCCTCTATCCTTGTGAGCCAACCGTGGCAGACCATGGGCTTGTCTGAAAAAAGGGCAGAACAACACACACTCAATTAATCATCATTGTTTCATGATGTTTCATCAACATTGCCATTTTGGAGCATGCTCCATTCCAAGGCACTCACACATCACATATTGTTAGCATCCCCATTTAGGCATGATTTTCCTTCATATCTCTATTATCCATTGCTTAATTCCTCCGTCTTTCCACAGAGACTTGCGATGATTTGCATCGACAAGTCCATCGACCAGTTGAAAGCGCTGTGTTCTGCAGTAGTGCGACAGCACCCTGAAGGGGGTTGAGCTTCCCGCACGTTCCAGCTAGAGGGCCTGAGGGTCGTGTCAACATCAACAGTCTGGTGCCATTTGCCTCCGCTGTTGGGCGGATGCAATCTTTACAATCCATGGGAATTCTGACTTTAACCAGACAGCAAACAATCAGAACCTGGAGCTCTTGGAAATCGGCTAGGAGATTCTTGACATCAGTTGTTGGCACGACATTAGTCTCAGAGCAACAGCTCCATCTTTTTGCAGGAACTGCTTTTTGCAGATGTCGTAGACACTGACCTTTGGTGATGGTCAATATAGGAATCAGGGCTTGACCTATTTACTCAAGGAGCCAACATTCACAGAGAAGCACAGAATCTGATTCCAAATTTATATACAGCAAATTAAATGATAAATGATGTGATTAAATACATTGCAGATCACGTGTACAGCGTACATACTATAGATACTATAAATTTAATTAATCGTATACATTTGATGTATACACTACACAAATTGTTCTCTTGGCACCGCTCTTGGAAATCGAAGGAATTGAAACGCGGACGAAGAACACACGGGCATATACATGAATATAACTATGGCAACTACATCTAAATATACCAACTTGTATTTTAGACTACCTCCGGGAAGGTTTTAATTGGCCCGCCAAGCCATTTAAACATACGGCATCCAATCTATTTAAATTATTTAAATATACAATTTAAATATACGGATGGAACTGGTGTTTAATACTACCTCCGGGTCCTTGTGGTCTGGCCCGCCCTCCACATATTTAAATGTTGTTACCGTATATATATATATATATATTTATAATCATTATTGTCCTAAATGGGGTAGCTCTAAAAGCGGCTGGTGGATCATCATGTTACTGATTCCAAGCGCCGTAAATTTCAGGATAGTTCCCAATTTTGGACGGAAGAAACTACAATAGTGCACCCTAACTTGCTGATGGGCATTGACTGCAGGGAATGAGTTCGTTTGGTTTACTAGAAAACTACAGGAAACCTTTTTTTGTCGTGCAGATGTGCTGTACAGTTTTCATGGAACAACTTGCAACAAGGAAAGGGCTACACATGCTTTGAACCATTCTGACAATGACACAAAAGTCTCATGGTGCATCACTCGAAGGTCTAAAATGAGTTGAGACTGCACGTCGAAGGGGCCGACTGGGGAGGTGTTGCAGGTTTCGTTGACCCCGGAAGCCGATCTTTACCATGCGCGAGGTATCAGTTGAAGATCCAGTTTCCAAGTTAGAACAAGATGGTGAATGAGTAGCACGTGGTGCAGCCAGGTACAATCCACTTGAGCACAACGGTGTGGAGGCGCTGCAACCCCTTGACCTATGAAGCTGTCACCAAGTTTCTCGGGATCTATCCGAGAAAAAGTGAGATGTTGAAGGGTTGAAACACCTTATATATATATAGGCATAGGTGCAAGTGGATAGACACCCAACTCAGTTTTAGGGTGGGTTCATTGTTGTAAGAATGAATTCCGCTTTTAGATCGTAGATTTCTTTTGCAGGTGTGTTGACTTATGTTGGCTTGTTTTTTTCCCCCTACAACGTAGCTCTCTCAACAGCCTGCTCAAAGAATCCAGCCTTAAAATGCAAACCCGCCCTAAGAGAGCTGCCAGAACTTCTCCAAACGGTAAAACGATGTAGTATGACTACTGTAACGTGGTAAACCCCATCCCGAATAGATCCCCAAAGTAATAAATCTCGGTAAGATATAAAAACCAATTAATGGTTGATAATTGGGATGTGGTTTATTGATGTTTATTGGCTTTACGACAGTATAGCTTTGTATCGGGGCAGAAACTGCGACCATCCCAGCGCTCCCTGACTAGATTGCTTGACAGGACGAGTGATTGCGAAAAAGCGGAGCGGTGAGTCGTTTTTTTCAATGCTGACATTGCCCCAAAAGGGAAAGAAAGGAACATATAAAGCACTTACCACAAAAACGCTCGGAAATCAATAGAAGTCGATGGCTTTGATGCCTTTCTTTGGGCGGAGGCTCCATCTCAGGCGATGTTGGCTCAAGAAGTGAACCATGGCCGCCGCCACATGATCGTTCAGAGAACAAGACCTGCAGTTACAACTACTATCAGGCGGCAAACACTGGTACATGTGTTGTGGCTTTCCAAGCATTGTTGAATATATTGATATAATATCTTGATATATCTTGATATATCTTGATTTCATTTTTTTACGTTGCCAACTGGTCGCTGCACCAGTGCATCCAGTCACGCTGTGCTACACCATGGGTGGAGCCGCACACCTAGATCTGGCGTTTATTCTGGCCATTCCACAGCCGTATCATTCTTGGGGCACAAGCCAAGAAAGTAACTGCTTAGTAACCATATGGTTATTATGTGGATATAAATAGCTTTACAAGTTATATCCCAGTCATATATTATACACATATCCCCGTTCGAATCTCAACTACAGAATGGGAGGCCTTCTGCCCCGTATCAAGGGCATTTCCGGGCTTAAATTAAGATGCCAAAATGGGGTTGGGCCAGGCATTTTGTAGCCACAGCTTGGGAATTGCATTCTATAATTCTATAAGTTTTCAGCGTTTCGGTAGTTGAAAGACCTTAAAAAGTCGAAAGTCATTTTGTAGCAAGGGAATTTGTAATGGTAGTGGTGGAGTGCCCCCTTCAAGTAACTTGAAAAAAGCAATCTTCATTTTGTAGTGGTGGAGTTTCCCCTTCAAGTAACCTTATGATAAAAACAAATCTTCATTTTGTAGCAGTATCATGTTGTCATTTTCCTTAACCCTCTGAAGGTTGAGAACCATTATTTTATAATGGCTGAGGTTAGGAACTTTTTGCAATGCCCACAAAATGAGGGTGTCGACCCCATCCTGAAGGTGAAATTCAAACCGGGATATACACATGAGATGCGGCCAAAATAAGAGTAAACTACTTTAAACTTTAAACTTTGGTAGGGGAGGGTCCAATTGTGTTGAGACAGTGCACCAAACCATGTAAAGCGATAGCCCCCCCAAAAAGCGATAACTTGTAACCATTTAGAGTGCATTAAGCTTGGGGTAAACCAAGCAAATATTGGCGTGTGCCCTCACGCGATAGGCAAAATTGATGAAAAAAATTCAACCTGCGTTGCCCACGTTTTTTGCGGTTGCCATACCATTCGTTGTCCAAGGTGGTTGAACCGTTGCTTTCTGCAGGCAGTTGTTTTTTCTCCCAGGTCCCAAAGCGGTAGAACTAAACTAAGCTGGTTGCAAATGAATTCTGAATTAAGGTAAAACATAGTTTCAAATCTAATTCTGAGTTCCGTTGATGTGCTTTACTTGAATTTGATTGTCGTATTCCTTTGTTTCCTTTTTTCTTTGTTTTTCCTTCCTTTTTCCTTTTATGTTATTTTGAATTCTCAAGTGGATCAAAATTGATCTTCAATCTAATTCTGCATTTCTTTTTTTTATTATATGTCCCTTTTGTTTGATTTGTCCTTTATTCTTCCTTCGTTTCCTTTTTTCGTTCTTTCCTTCCTTTTTCATTTTGATTGTTCAACTGTCCTTTTTGTTCCACGTTCCTTTTTTCTTTTCATTTCTTGATCATCAAGGTGTTCTAATTTAGGGATAACCTTAGCGATAACCTTTTATTGAAAAAGGAACCCCGGACGAGGGATAGACTCAATTGATCCCAACAAGAAGAACTCAACAAAAAAAGTGAACAGGTTCTCAACCCTAGGCCATCAGGTTGTTTTGAGACTTGGGGAGCCTTACGCACTTCTTCATAGCTACGAACGCTTCTTTATTGCAACTATGAGGTCGCATCTTCAATTTCTAAAGCTTTTGAGCGGGGAAGTGTGGCGTTTTCTGGCGCCATGGCTTAACAAAGAGGGACAATTGCGAGGTGACCCTTTTTCGTTTTCATAGAATTAGTGATCTTTTAACCGTTGGGAACCATTGATCTTAATTAAGTTCAGAGTTGAGCTTGTAACAAATGTCCTTCCTTAGGAAAGAGTCTAGGAATGTTCTTAGATAGATCCCGAACATGGTTGCAAACGCAAAGACAGCAGTTTAGAATTCCATTCCCAGCAGTTTAGAGATTCGAATCCGCGAAACCAATTCCGCTGCACTTTTGCATTATTTCGTGTTGATTTGAACAAAACACAATAAAAAAGCGATGCCCCCAAATTGCAATTGGGGCACCAGTTGTGGGATCCCTGGGATTCAACCCCAAGTTATGGATTTTAAGAAGGATGTTGATCGATTTTGACATTGAAAGTGTCTAAATATTTTTGAAAAAAAACATTCCCGCAAATGATCGAGTAATAAAAACTACTCCAGTGTTTATTATTTGGGCCGG